GGGTGGGTGGGTTATATATACACTACGAAGAAACGTTTGCATTTTTTTAAAAAAAATCCAACAAGATGAACTATGAGAAGCCAAAGAGCGAGACTCTTTCCTCAAACAAGACAAAGTTCTGCGGGGAAAAGTCACGTGAGGGAGATCCAATACCAAGCGGGCCTCACCGGGGAAGATGTCCTGACGGCTGAAACCTGGCCGGGGCGGGGCGGAGCGGGGGGGGGGGGGTAACGGGGAGGCCAATCTCGCTCCCCAAAATGAGGGGCTGACTTGGAGACACAGGAGCGAGGAAACGTTGGAGGGATGATCACGAAAGCCCTCCTCGTGAGGACTTACAATTACTGACAAGGCACCTGGGAGTTCCAAAAAACTTCAAAGTAATTCCCAGTACAGAAAATAAGATATACACACAAGTGTATTAAGTATTCTAAGAAATACAAAATCCTAAGGGTGGACCAGTGGGGAGAAAATAAATAAATCATAGAGGGCTTCATGGATCTGGATAAAACACTCTTTTTACAAGTAGGAGATGGGATAGTAAGGAAAGGAAGATAGATGGATTCTACTGACTAAAAACTATACATAGGTTCAATAATTATAAGGAAATGTAGTTTTTTGGATTATCAAAACCTCTGAAAGCTAACTTAAAAAAATTACAACCATAACCAATAGCTTCAACACATGGATTAACAGTATCACTTTATGCTTATAGTTTATAAACTTAAATAAAAAAAAAAAAAATATTGGACTCACTAACGTGGTCTGAATAGTGCATGTGCATATCAGTAACAGAATGTTAAATGGTCTAACATGTAAAACTTAAATTTAAAAAACCTTTACTTTTTTTAGTTATTATACTGGAATAAAATAAAGATGTGAAGTATGGAATCACCACTAAACCAAAGCATTCCAAATAACTTTCTGGTCCCCTCCAACGCCCAAGAATATCTGTTCTGACCCAAACACAAGTGCATGAAAAATGTTTCCTGCACTTATATGTAGAAATAATATTCTACCCACATGTCTGTAGCTGAGAGACCTCCTTCAAATACTTGGGTGTGTTGCATTAATGGGGCTAACAAAAGCACGTTATTCTACAAGCGACCACCACCACAAGAGAGAGGTTGTTGAATACCCTTGGAATGTTTTCAAATAGTCTCACCTCTAGGAGCAATGCTATTCCTAACACATCACTCTCGTTCTTGTTCGCGATTGTCAAATAGACCTGGAGTCCTTCCGGTTACCTTAATTTTTATGCAATTGACTTTTTAAAAAATACCTTTTCATCCTTATTCTATTGGTTCAAAATTTTGCTTGGAGATTCATTGATGATTTTTTTCATGTAAATTTAGATCCTCTACTTACCCAGTATCATACTCCACTGTGCAAATATACCAATATGTATTTCAGTTACAGGGGAACCTTTGGGTCGTTTATAGGTCGTGGCCACCATTAAATAGTATAGCTATGGCTATTATGCAATTGAGAGCCACCAATTTGTTACGTAAAAACCATAATGGCTCATTAAACCTGCGGAAAGTATGGGCAGAGAACAAACGCTGAGGAAATAAGGCCTGCATCTCCTTGAGTGACATGGGGTGGGGGTGGGGGGGTGGCAATCGCTGTCAGTGGGCATTTGCTCCGTGCCACTGCTCTCCTCGCACTCTCTGTGCTATTTCATGTATTTAGGGTTCCGGAAGCCACTCTCTCCCAATTTTTACTTTTAAGCAAGGTTAAGTAACAAGGTTACGGGGCTAACAAGCAATAGGGCTGACATTACACCCAGGTCTCTGTTTGCTTCCAAGTCTTTCCTCTCTACCACCGTCAGCTCTGCCGGCGGCGCCAGGGATCCCAGGTTTTTATTCGGACGTGAGTTGTGCGCTCAATGCTCCTGACCATTACTTTCCACGGCCATCTCCGCACATTTACAAACAGAGCCACCCATCGGAGGGCCCCGCGATGGAAACCGCCGCCGGACGGAGCACAATGACTTGGGCAACAATGTCAAAGGCAGAGCCGTCACCGCACGTGCTTCCCCGCGGCGGGCCTTCCCGGCGGCGGAAACACGGGCCTCCAGCCTCTTGGCTGGAACGAGGCGAAAGGTTTCCTTCTTGTGGGGGAAATGAAAGGAAAGAAGTCAGGATTTCCCACCCCCCAAAAGGGTAGTGCTGCTGCTGTTATGTGTTTTTGGGGGGTGGGTGGGTGGGTAATATATACA